ACCTGTGTTACTTAATAATATTAATATACTGCCCCATGCATTATTACTTTATAATTTAAATAGTCTTAAAATGACATTTTATTGACGTATATCTCCATTAAAATGATACATACACCAATAATATAACTGATAAGGGAAACTTAAATGTCTTCCATCAAAGCACGTCATTAAACATGTCAGGTATTAAAAGTGCAGTAATTAACCCAATGTAATTTCATTTGGCATAAATCTGTATCTCAACTTAGCAATATGAATTGTTTCCCAATTAACTCTTAATTAGGCACCAATATCTCAATTTAGTATTAGGAATTCCATCTCAATTTACTTTTAGGAATATCCAAATTAACATCTTAATTTACTATTAGGAATTGACATTTTAATATCCTATTAGACATCAACATCTTAATTTATTATTAGGAATTGACATTTTAATATCCTATTAGACATCAACATCTTAATTTCCTATTCAATTTGGCATTGACATCTTAATTTCCTATTTGGCAATTTAGTATCCTTATTAACCATTGGCCAATAGCATTATAATTTACTATAAGACATTAGCATTAGTAAGGCACTATCACAAGTTACATAATAATGTACTACTACAGAGATAGTTTACCATGAGGTACGTATACTACCATACTGTTAGTTCCATCTAATAGGACTGGATGCTGGGTAATACCAACATTAAAATAATAAAAGGTTCTGTCATTTGGAAATGTAAACTAAATCACTGCCCATCATATATGAATATGTAAGTTTGCATCTAAAAATGCCCATATAAACTGTACACTACAATATTGCTGATTATAACGGTTTCTCTGATAGAACACGTGTGTGTGTGTACATTTGTGTGTGTAATCATTGGGCATCTAGTAAGTGGCAGTAAAATGTATGTATGCATACAAATTAATTATTAACAGCGAAAATTCCTTGGCAGCAATAAATACACTACTGAATAGAATTATGGAGACAATATGTTTACATGTACACCCTGCGGTCACTAGTACATGTCTGTGATACATATATATCTATACACACAGGGACAGGTATCATGTTATCAGTATCTATGTGTATATATATAGGTGTATAGGAATGTATACCAGTATTTCACATATTTACATCTATTACTGACAATATACTTCATGCATGTTATACCACTGTTTTTGTTACCTAAATTTTACAACAGCCTGCTCCTATATGAATTGGGAAAATATAGCATTATTTGTATTGAAATTGGGAATATTCCTCAGTTTTTGGTCATTTGGGGAAAATACAACTCTTTTTAGCTATAGGGGAAACTGCCTGTATTCGACAGTAAAACTGATAAAAAAAATCATTGTATACATGAAAGAAATGTAAGTTTATTGGCAGTATGCTTCATGCGTGTTATACATGAAGAAATGTAAAATATATAAGGATAAATATGTTTTCCTTCGTCACTTTTAACACTGTTATAAGGATTGAATTATATGTAATTATTCTTAACATTTGGATAGTATGAAACCCAGTTATTTATAATAATAATAACATACAACATTTGATATAGTGCCCTATCTAGCTAGAATAAGCCACTCTAAAGCACTTAACAGTACATAGATATACAATTTATTCAATCAAAACAATTAGCATACATTAATCAATAAAAAATTGAGGAATTCGCAGGAGCTGCCTTATCAAGCGCGAACTACTAGTCCTATGCCACCTGGCTAATATCTCCCTATGTGTGTGTGCCTGCGTGTGTGCTAGGGCTGTACATGTATTGTCTTTCAAAGATATCCTCCAAAGATTCGCTACTGCACATATTGAAAATTACCAGTAAGCATTGTACAGATGGGTTTCATAAATGTTAAAAAAATGAGATATGCATTGCATTTCTGATAATTATGATATACACAATAAAGGACATTTTTATTCATCTTTTGAGAGGTTCTTTTAGTTTGATCTAAATGAACTGTTTTAATGAAAGGTAGAATAGCCATTTTTACAGGAACAGTATCATATTATCAGTATCTATAGCTCCCAATTCAATCAGGCAGAAAGTCAATCAGAAACCAATTCTGGAATAACCATCAAAGTTTGAATTTAGAAATGATTAGTCCCCAATAACTCCTAGTCTTCATGATCAATAACTCTTAACTCGTTCACCCCCGACATTTTATAATGAACTATTCCAACCTTTAAATTGTTCAAATGTGTCTTCAGGGGTGTACACAGTTCTTGGTGCTTGGCTTTGATAACTACATTTTGAGTAGGTTTGTACAAGGGAAATGTCAATTCATGTGTATAATGTGTATAATAAATTATACACTATTATTTCACAGATTCAATGATAGTATATAGGACTAGAAATAAATTTTAAAAGCCATTAGTCAGTTAAGCTAGTAGTTTCCAATATTAATAGTTCATGTGCAATTTCCACTAATCAAATATCAGTCAACATTTATTTGATAGAGCAAATCAAAATAGAAATGATGAGCAACAACACCACTGAATCTGGTACAAAAATTTAATGTTTGATTTACATCTTACGTGCTGACATGTTTTGCCCCCCCCCCCCTGTTGTAATTACTTGGTAGATAATACATATGAAATATTGATGAGATATCAGGCAAGAAGTTTTTAGAACCACAAGTCCATCTGGAGATCTCACGAGTCTCAGATTATCGGGCTACCCTTATTGTCTAGCCCTGGGGATACCTTATGTTATACAATATAATCATTTATATGACCATTAGCATTTACCGGTTACTTTTCAGGTACNATACAATATAATCATTTATATGACCATTAACATTTACCGGTTACTTTTCAGGTACCGTATCTATCTGGCAATTAGTCCATGCCAGTTAATAAGTCCACCAATGTCAAACACAGTTTGGTAGATATTCTAATAAATGCTACTTCATAGTCCTGCAGTAAGCCCATCCCCTACTCTGAGTTAAAGTCTATGTGGTGTCTCCCTCCCTGGGCTTATTACAGGATAAAATAATATCAGATTACTACAATATATGAGTTAATCATCATTCTTTTGAGGATTAAGTATTGACAAGGTGTGTAATCAATTTGTTTTACCTTAAAACATAAGATGAAATCTTAGGTCTTAAGGAATCTATTCTATCAAATTTTGGTAAAAAAAGTGGCACTTTTTGTCCTCTATTATATATACATGATTTATATGACTACATTTTGTCAAGATGAAGAAAGAAAAGTTGCATAAAACTAGTGATTTCTACAACTGAACAGATTTTAAATTGGTTGTTACATTTATATTGGTCAAGGCTAATGGTTACACTACTTGACCACTTCAGACAAGTTAACCATTACGACTGCAGGGTCACATTTCTATGTCAGACACTGCTCACTCTGTTTGTATAAGAACTACAAGAAAGCAAGCAAGAATTTACTAGTAGTGACATTTTAGGGATTTTGATGAGAAATTTAAAATAGAATACAAAATGGTGACAAAGTAACTACTCTGCATTATACTCTGCACTACACTACAATGTCCACTGTGTCGTAATGAAGCTTGGTCTGGATCTCTGAATTCTTGTAGAGTTAAAATCAAATCTGTAACCCTTCATCCATTATATAGTGTATCCATGTGAAATCATCATAGCTGTCAAAACTCCCTTATTTTGACAAAAATTGACAAATCTCCCTCGAAACATCCTCATTCAGGTCACAAACTCAAAATCTACATCTTGTTGTCAAATGATCTCCTGGTGTGTGTAATGATCATAACAGGTGTGTCTGAATCAAATTTTTTCTTTTTAAAGTTATTTTGATACATAAAAAGGGAAAGATAAATTGAGCAAAGCGGTTTCAGTCGCATTTCGTGCACTTTCTCCCTCATTGGAGGTTTCAGAGGTTGACACCTAGGAATCATCCAACTTCTTAAAGCCAGAATGGGAGAACACGAGAATTTGATGACAAGGAATGAGAATATGATGGCTAGAAAGTGAAAATTAAACACTGAGGGATCAAAGTTTGTATCACTGTCCCTGTCCCTGTCCTTTTTCTCATACTATTGGCATCTTTTTGTGCTGTCATTTTCCCATTTTTGTGTTGTACACCTAACCTTAGGTCAAAGGATTGACATTGCAAGATATATGTTATTTGAGAAATTATTAAATCAATTGATTGCAGATTCTTTCCTACAAAGTTTGTGTTCAGCGCCTCCTCATATATTATATATTTAACCTATACATCACTCCGGGAATGCCATGTCACATAAATTGACACGCATGAAAATGGAAACTTTTCATAAATGTTTTGACTGTACAGAACTTGAAGTGGTGCATAAAATAATATTTCGTTATAACTCAACATTTTGAATTAAAATCTGCAGAAATAGAGAATATTCAACACCGGATCTCTAGTCTGAGTTCCCTCTGGCCCTAACACCATATTTTTGACAGACAAGTCTAGATCTGGTGTTTGGGTAAGAAGAAACTTCGGCTACACCACCTCATAACTTTTAGTGATTCGACAAAATAGAATTCCCGATCAATAAGGAATATGGTTCATGCAAAAGTTATGGTAGGAAACTATGCATTTGTGTCGTTGTCTTGTCATGATCACCGTATTGGCAGAACGTGTATGCTTTACTGTGTATAGTTGACAATGAATGAGTCAGCTAAACATTTATTAAGTGAAAATATAAAAATTGAGGGCGTATTGGTTGATACGGTTAGTTGGTGCCTTTTTGTTTACTGTTTATGATTGATCGACAGTGTGAATGAGCTTGCTGTCGAGATAACCGGCTTTTAGATCGCAGAAATTGACAGTGCTACTGTTAAATTTATTTTAACAGTTTGACCAATGTTGCGTGTCTGTTACTGCAAAGATAATAAATAAATATGATACCGAATTCCGACACAATACGCCCCTCGAATTCATTCATATAGATAATGGAATACAATCGTTATCAGAGCTACTGTACACAATATTTCCTGTGCAAAGCTTCATCGCGATATTGATTTCATCATTATGCCCACCTCTGTTTCCTTATGATTCCTTATTCCGCGGACCAAATCTTGAAGATTTTTGTCAAGCACTCTTTCGAGCGTCCCTTTAACTTTCTTCAAAGCCATCTTTGGGGTGACAGGAGGGTAAATCACAAGGAAACCATCGGAAGTGTGTTGACAGATACCCGCTTTCCTACCAGGAAATCCAAAATGGTGCTGATCTAAGTCATGTGAGATGTTGACGTGTGAGGCTGGACTAAAATAATAAACGGATTCCGGATTTTAAACGATTCAGCCTAACAAGTTATAGACTACCTAACTGTCACAACACTATTGTCAGAGGAAAAACAAACTTGGCTTTAAAAAAAAAATCGTTACAAATTAAAGTATAAGCAAATGTTTCTTTAGAACAGTGACACTTTATATGCAATCCGTGCAGTTACTTAAAAATTATAATGAACAAGTTTAACAAATCACATACTCAATCAATATAATGTAGACTTAGATAATCTATTAGTCTAACCTTATTCCAGTGGCGGATCCAGAGGTTTTTTTTGGGCTTCAGGGCCCCCCCCCCCCCCTGAGAATTTTCTTTAAAATTCATGTATTTTCACCATTTCCTCAATTTTTCCCCACATGGAAACCCCCCAGGAAATTTGGACACTGTGTTTTTTTAGTGTATTTGCACATTGGTTTATATTGTAATTTGTGAGTTTACCTTCTTGGTGTACAATAAAAGCCAACTTTCTCTCTATTCTAGCCTTGCCAGCCTGGTGTCTTTGATGATATATATATCCTACTAGGTATCACGTGTATTATAAAAAAAAAAAAAAAAATGCCCGCGCTTTTTCAAGAGTTTGATTTGATTTTGATTTGATTTAAACATATCTTATTGCCTTTAAAGCAACAGGATTGGGCAAAAGTTGTACAACTTATTTATAGCTCTTTCCATAAAATAAAACATCTGTATATACTTACAAAATTCAAGATGGCATAATATACACAACCATTTGTACATATCTTATGAGAGAGAGAGAGAGAGAGAGAGAGAGAGAGAGAGAGAGAG